AAAAAAAAAAAAAAAAGCAGTATAGAATTTGGTGCCCGGAATCTATCTTCAATATCAAATTTTATTTTAATTTAGAGTAAATCTATTTATTATTACGAAATTGTTTTTTATAAATATTTATCTATTTTAAATCAACTTTTATTATAAGATTTTTTGGACTGTACTTATATTTGAATAAATAATATTTTTATTATACTTTATATTAGGAATATTATTCAATTAAGCATAATATTAGTGTAGACTTTTACAATATTAGTGTGTGTAATTGTATTGTAAATGGTTTGCATATTTAAATTTGAAATATTTAATAATGAAAGATAATACTCTCTCCGTTTCATAATAAAGTATTCATTTTTTTTCAATTTTAGTCTGTCTAATAACAAAGTATCCATTTTTTTAACATTACAAATACCCTTACAACTTACAATACATTACATAAATGTCATTACTTTTATATCACACACACTAACAAAGTTATTTTAGTCAATTCTACTTTATTTCTACTATATCCTAATATAATATTAATATTTATAAAATTACGTGTAAAAAGCAAACGAATATTTTTTTTTTGAACGGACGGAGTATTAGAAATATTAAATCTAACCAAAGATTATTGTATTATAAGTATTTGAGAAGAATTTTTTTATATTTAGATATAATAATGAAATTAATATGATGTATTTGTGATTGTGAAAATGCATATGATGAGTTTCCACATTCTTCTAATATGTTTGTTTGTCTTATATATACACGATGTCTTAAATATTAAAATAATAAAAATAAATTTTAAATATAATAATGGAGTGGTGGGGTAGGCCACGTGGCAGGGACCCACAATGTTCAGGAGGTCAGACATTTGACTAATTGCAATGAGAGGGACAGCTGTTGCTGCCTTCCTCGTGTGTGAAAGAGAAAGACGAGCCATCTGACTTGGAACACCTCACGTGACTCTTGGCATCTTGCACGTGCGTGCGGCGGCGCCTCAGCTCAGCCTCAGTTTTCTTCATATTCAAATGTTCTAATTTATAGTATTTTCTAAAAATATTATCTTTTACTATATATTTTTATTTAAGAAATTCCTACCTTCGAAACTAACATATAATAACACGTGGGAGCTCCCGGGACTCACGCTCCTAGAAGCATCGCAACCCTCCATCTGAAGCTTGCATGCAAAATCAACGGTGGGATGGCTTAGGGAGTATATGCTAGCAATTTTAAATTGGTGTTCATTGTTTATAATATTGTTTTCTAAAATAATATGATATCAAATGGATTTTATTTATTTAAAATTTTATTATATATTAAAATAATAATAACAAAATCCATACCTTACTGAAATAAAAAGTCTTTGGTAATAATTAATAATATGTATCCTTTTAAAATACTTTTATGTTTGATCAAGTTTAATACTTGATTATACTTCATTAAATATTAATGGATGTTGATTTTGGTGTTTTTGAAATAAAATATTGATTGAATGTAATGTTATATTGGAAATAAATATCATGTAATATATAAATATTTTTAGATAGAAATAATAATAAGTATGAAAAAGAAGAAATCTAGTTATAATCTGATTTTTAATTCCCATGACATACTAGCCTATTGTTAAATCCATTTTAGTTTTATTTATTGATATGTATATATTCGAGGTTTGATTATTTATTACATGTAATATTATTGTATTTGTAATTTGTATGCTATAAATGTATTTTTGGACCAGGGATTTTATTATTTTGCTGGATTTGGAAATAAATGTTTAGGACATACCAACGTAAGCTTTTCTTTTTTTTTTTTTGATGAGGTGGGAACCTGCAGCTGCCGACATAAGCTTTTCTTTGAACTTAGACAATTATCTACTTTTGCCATCAATCTTTTGAAAATTTTATCTCACTTAATTAGCCGTTTTGTTTTTCTTTTGACGTGGACAAATTATAAGTTTCAGAAGCCAATTTTGCCTTGTCAAAAAAATAATAAGAATAAATTATTAATTATTTTTATTGAAAGATTTAATTACAAATGACTAACTTTGAAATGAATTTGAATGTTTTTTGATATTTAGAAAAAAATTTTCAGGCCTTATTATTTTTAATTCATTCATCATCATGATTATTGCAATATTAAATTGAACATAACAGTAATTTAAAAATAATCATTTTAATCCTATTAGATATATATTTTATTTTATTATTAACTAAGAAAATATCATATAATATTAATTATATAGTGTTGTTTTTACAATAAATTGTGTTTAAATTAATTATAGATTATATTATCCGTTCATGTGTTATTTTTATACTCCATCCGTTTCAGAATAAGGTTGCCGTTTATTTTTTATACGTAGATTTTTTAATATTAGTATTATAATGAATTGTGGTGAAAAAGACGAAATTACCCCTATTAGTATTGTGTAATATAAAAGTAATGTCATTTGTGTAATATAGTGTAAGTTGAGAGGGTATTTATTATGTTAGATATGTAGTACAATTACTAAATTAGAAAATGGTAACCTTGTTTTGGAACGGACGAAAATAGAAAATGACAACCTTTAAATGAGACGGAAAAAATATTATGTTGATATAGAACGAACAATACATGTTATGGTCAAATATATATCACAATATATAGTAAAAAAATAGTAGTATAATTATATAATTTTATTTAATATTCTGTGTTGTTTGTATTTCTATTTTGTATTACTTAACACAATAACATTACCAATTTTTTATATGTAAAGACTATTTTGTCTTTATATTTTAATTTAATATAATACAGTAATATATATTGTTAAAAATAAATATAAATTTAAAAGTATTTATAATATATACGTAGTATAATATAGTATTTGAATTAAAAAAAAATAACAAAATATAGACATTTGATTTTTTCATGTTACTTTTATAAATACACTTTATAAAATTATACAAACTAAAATAAATAAAAATAATATTGTCAAAACATTATTAAAATTATATAGTATTGTTTAAAAAACTGAGTCAAAAATAAAACTAACAAATTTATTAGCATCGCCGGCAATATTTAATTAGATACAAATGAAAGAGCTATATAATACATTTAATATTCTCAAGTGTATAACAAAGCACATATAATAATATAATATTATTACTAGTGGCTGTTTTTTTCTTAAATAATCTTTGCTCACTTTGTATTAAAAAAATAAATTAATTAATGTATAAAATAACTTCAAGATATATATATATATCATTATAATAAAATATATTTTAGGGTTATATGAGCCTTTTGTTAATGGAATAATGGGTTCCAAGTGAGGTTAATAAAATATTAATTAATTCCACTTTAATCAAACTATAACACTACCACTAATTAATTAATTAATTAATTAATATAAAGAGAATTATGCCTTTAGCACTGTGTGTAATATTATAAAGTCATTAAATCCAATTACTGTTTTCTTTTTTCTTTTCTTAAAAAAATAAAAACAAATTAGAAGAATAAGCTTTAGCTTAGATTACAGAATCTAATAACTAAGGTTTAACAGTTACGCTAATTTTATTTTAATATTAAATCATTGTAATAATATAACTTTAAATTAATCGTAATTTCTTCTTATTCTTTTACAAAGGTGGAATATATTTATCCTCTTATATATATATAATAGTCAATATGTCTCAAATATTTTTATTATATTTAATTAGAGATGCCCCCAAAAATTTTACAATTTATTTATTTACACATTAGTTTTTTTCTATTTAGAATATGGTATTTTATAAAAAATTTCAAAACAAAAGTAGAAAAAATATATATATATATATAAAATTTATCAAAAAACTATGCCAATAGTACAATTAGCAAATATATATTTTGGTAAAGGAAGTAAAAGTCTAAAAACTAAACTATGTTTGGGTATTATATAAAATAAATTTATGTAATTAATATTAATTATTTTATTTTATTTTTTTAAAAAATATATATATTAAAAATTATGTCAGTAAATTTTAGTTTAGGAAACAAACCCTGGAATATAAAATGATGTAGTAATTTAAAGTTATTACCTTAAAACTATTTCTAAGTTAATCTTATCTTATCTTAGTTTCTTATTTGTTATATATATATATATATATATATTTTTTTTAAATCTCTATAAATACTAGTATCTTAAATGAACTTCCATACCTAATTTTTTTATGGAAATTTTTTTTTTTTTGTTGTAGATAGTAATTAATAATTTGAATAGGAAAGAAATTAAAGGGTTTCATTTTGGTTTGATGATCATAGGTGGAGTTCAATTATAGACATAATAATAATAATAATAATAATAATAATAATAATAACAATAATAATAATAATAATAATAATATTATTATTATTATGTGGTTGGGGAGAAGGGTAGTGATTATCCTATTCACATTATGTATTATTAATTATGTCTTTATGTATCATCATTATCATTATTCAATTAGATAATAACAATAATAATAATAATAAATCTTGGGGAATTTTTCCGTACTTTGTAAAAAATTGTCCAGTGTTAAAAGTATTTATTATTAATATTTAAAATATTATATTTAATAATTATTCTATATAAAAAATATGAAAACAAAATTAAACTAAAAAATACATTTGTAAATGCAACTTTAAAGGTGTGTTCCACTATCATCACAAGTATATATATATATATATATATCTATATATAATCCCACTTCAGAAATATTGTATTAAAAATATTATACTAGGATCTAAAAAAAATTACTCAAAAAAAACCCAATTTGTAAACGAATTCTTATAAAAAATATGTAAATGAATAGTTTGGAAGTAGAAGTAAGAAACAGTAATAGAAATAAAAGAACAAACAAGAACAGTGATATTTGAGTATGGTCATAGGACAATATAATAATATTATACATGTAATATATTAATATAATACTATAGTGTAATAAAATAACATATAAAATATTTATAATATAATATTATATAATATAATTTGGGGTTGGCTTCTCCTTTCTTTATTGTGTGTAGGCTTAGGTTCTTCTTCCCCAACACTTCCTTTCTCCATTATATCCTCTCCTCTCTTTGTTTTCTATTCTGATTAGGGTTTCGATTTAATTTCTTCATATATATTTAATTAATTAATAATCTGTTGATTTCCATCTTTTAGGGTTTAGTTTAATTTTAATTTGGTGTCGAGATTGAAATTTGTATTTATTTAATTTTTTTTAAAAAAAATTTATTTTTGGAGGTTTGTGGTGTTTTATGTATGGCGGGATTGGATTTAGGCTCGGCTTCGCACTTCGTGGCGCAGCTGCAGCACCAGCGGGCGGCGCCGGATTCCGACGATGAGTCGCACCGGAATCAATTTTCCGGCGAGAACGTGCAGCAGGGGTTGGATCTGGTGACGTCATCGGGCGGCGGCGGCGACGGGATGGGGCGGCGGCCGAGGGGGCGGCCGCCGGGGTCGAAGAACAAGCCGAAGCCGCCGGTGATAATTACGCGCGAGAGTGCGAATACGCTACGCGCGCATATACTGGAGGTGAGCGGCGGCTGCGACGTGTTCGAGGCGGTTGCGGCTTACGCGCGGCGGCGGCAGCGTGGGATTTGCGTGCTGAGCGGGACGGGGACGGTGACGAACGTCAGCCTCCGGCAGCCGGCGGCGGCGGGGGGAGTGGTGGTGCTGCAGGGGAGGTTTGAGATCCTGTCGTTGTCGGGGTCGTTTCTGCCGCCGCCGGCGCCGCCGGGGGCGACTAGTCTGACGATATACCTCGCCGGCGGACAGGGGCAGGTCGTCGGAGGGAATGTCGTCGGCGCGTTGATCGCGTCGGGGCCGGTCATCATCATCGCCGCGTCGTTCACCAACGTGGCGTACGAACGGCTGCCGCTGGACGAAGAGGAGGCGGCGGCGCAGCAGATGCAGACACCGCCGCCGGCGTCTGCGCCGCCGGGAGGCGGCGGAGCTGGGAGTCAGATGCCTGATCCATCCGCAGGGCTACCTTTCTTCAACTTGCCTGTGAATATGCCTAACGGCGGCGGCGGCGGCGGTGGACAGCTTCCCTTGGAGGGTCCGTGGGCGGCGAATTCCGGCGGCGGCCGGCCGCCGTTTTAGCTCCGATAAGGTCAGAAACCTTTTTTTTTTTTAAGAAATTGAAAAAAAATGTTTTCACACCTATGTACATTAATTAATTTAGTTCATCATGGACTCAATTAATTAGGTATTAATTTTAATTTCCCATTTGTTAATTGTGGGAGATTAAAAAAAAAAAAAAAAAAAAAAAATCTTTGGCTGTGAAACTTCTATTAAGTTGTTGGGAAATAAGTTTTGAGGGATAGACTTCTTTTTTTTTTTAGACCGTCGATTTTATTTATTGCAACTTGTCATAAGTTGTTCTGAATAATTTTTATTTAATATAATTACCACTATCCATATTATGTGCCAAGGAATAACCCATTTTTGTACGTTATACAAATATTTATTTATTTATTTATAAAATTAAATTAAATTTATACCAATGTGCCAAACCTGTGGGCATCCATAGTTAAGGGCAAGTAATGAATTCATTGCTATAGGGCGTTTATTAAATTGGGGGTATATTAATTACTTATAATTTTTATTATTTCAATTATTTTCTTTTTTTTATTGCTATTAAAAAACATAAAATATATATTCTATGCAATATTTTAATGGAGAACATATATTTATAACTCCTATATAAAAGAAATATATAGTTTTATTGTAAATTATAATAGTGCAGAAATTGTAAAAAAATAATATATTTTATTAAAAGATTCGGTAGGTGACAGTTAAAATACCAAAAAAAAAGACTACAAAGAAAATACACGAACTTATTTTATGAATATTTTATTTATTTAGAGAACGTATAAATTGAGATAGAATGATAATAATAAAAAAAAAAATCTAATTAAATAAACTAGTTATAGTGTTCTGAAAATTTTATTTGTATTTTCAGTTATACCAGTGTATTATTTATATACTAATTTAAAAAATATACTATAAAAATATCTTTTTCTTTTATTTATTTATATAGTACAACACAGCAAATTTTGGGTGTTCTTTTGAAGTTTGACTTTGTTTTCTTATTTAAATAGTAGTTTTAATATGATATTATATGAAACTAAATATATATATATATATATATTTTATGTATAAAATTTAAAAAATTGTATAATAAAAAGTTAGAACTAAATCAACACTTTGTTTACACTATTTTAAAATTTTGACATTATTCAATTTTGAAAATGTAATATTGTGTTAAATATATATATATATATATATTTTTTATAAAATATTATATCAAATATTTATTATTTTTAAAATTTTAAAGTTCAAAAGTCATTGTTTAAATAGAGGTGGAGATGTTAAACGAGTTGGAATATATATTGTTTGAGCTCGATTTGAATATGCAATCGGTACAGGCTCGATTCGATTTATTTAAGATTCGAGCTAAATTAATGACTCAAATTTGATCCGTTAATTTTAATTTCAAGTTTGACCTCGGCTCAAAAAATTTAAGTTCGAGCTCGAGTTGAAGTTCGACTCAAATTTCATACATATATACTTTTAATCTATAAATTACATAAACACAAATTTATTTATAATTTATTATAATAAAATATTCAAATTTTAGTTCACATAAAAAGTATATTTTATATAAATATATAAAATATCTGCCAGCTTTCATTTTAAAAAATCATATTTGTCGAGCTCAAACTATGTATTCAACTTTTAACAAATTTAGTCGAGTTTAGTTCACAAACTACTCGATTCGTTTAATAACTTTTAACCGGATAGAAATTATAAATTTAATTAAACCCTAAATTTACATAAATATTAATTTAAAATAAAGTGCAATTAGGGCTCATGAGATACGACAAAAACAGTAGAGCTAACCAATTAATTAATACAATCAACAGTGCCTAGGTCTCGGTCCTAATTCCTACATACAAGTATTATATATATATATATATGTACATATAAATATATGGGATTTAAGAATCATGTTTAGAATATATTATGATCGTTTAAGTAAATAAATAAAATGTAGGGTTAAGATTGTCTGTGTGAAAATATATTTGGAATGTAAAAATATTTATGTTATTTGCTTTATTTAAAATACACTCGTAAATGATGTCATTATAAATCTGTACAAATTCTTATAATTAAAATAAAAAATTTTAATTTAATGTTTCTAATATAGTATTATAATCAAATTTTCTCTGGTATATCCGTAATTTGTTACATCACGCATTTGTTGATACAATTCTTTTGATGTTATGTTTAAGTATTACCATTGAGTTGTTTACTTTGTATTTTTGATTTAAAATATTTTTTTTATGTTGGGTATAGAAAGTTGTCATTATTAATATAAAAAATAATATTTAGTATTTAATTATTAATTTTTTTGTATATTTGTATATAATATACCCTCTCCGTCCACTTTTAATTACTACGTATTTCTATTTTTATTCTTCTAATTCAATCCATTTTTAGTAAGTGTTTTACACTTAATTATCATATTACCATCACTTTATTATACACTTATTTTCTAAAAATAAGAGCAATTTAATCTTTACACTATTATATTTGCTCAGTCTGTCCACTCTATAGGTATACATTTTTTCTATTTTTAGTTAACAAAAAAACATCAACTTTCCTTTATAATAAATATAAGCCTCACTACATATTACAAATATATTTATATTTATATTTATATTTATTTAAGTTAATAATTTCAAATAATATTACACATTCATAAGAGTAAAATAGTAGTTTCTACATACAAAACTATCATAAAATATCATTAAAATATAATAATACTTATTAAACTTCTTGAAAATAATAAATATATATTACCTAAATTCGGCTCTAAGAGTCTCATTTAATTTTTGTATATTGATATTTGAATATTACTTACATTAGTGTCTTATCGTACTAACAAAAATACATTTGTGCAAAAAATTATATAAATACAATGATATTTTTAATGTTAAATACACAAAAGGTAAATATCGATAAGTACAGGTAAAAATGTATGGAACGAGAAAGTCCCTAAATATTACGACTAAAATTAATCAGCACTATAATCAGTATGGCGTGTGTTAATCAGTCATTTGGAGAATAATTAGGTCATATGGAATAAATCAAACCGTATTTAATTTTAGACTACTGTTTAAATTTTGACTTTTGCGTCAATAAATTAAAGTGATTATTTAATTTTATCGATAAATATAGACATATAGTACATGTCATAATGTCAATATGTGCGCGTGCGAATTTAATATGGTATATACGTGTATATATTAAAAAAATATTACCGTCATCCAATCCATAATATTTTTTTACTCAATTTACAGTCGAGCCAATTTAATTTCTTCTTTATTTTCTTTACTATACGAAAATTTGCATCCGCTACTCCTCAAATGCAAAAATCACAATTTAACGTAATAATCTGCAAACTAGATCAGTAAAATAACTCGATCCATCATCGATCCTGCCGATACCGAGCTACAATCTACGAGTAACACAACACATCATCTACATCATTCAAAATGTGTTCGATTGCAAAATTAGAATGTCTGAAAATGTGCGATACCGCCGGCAAAAATGAGGTCTGCCACCGGAAGAAAAGATCAGCCGAAAAATCTCCTTCCAATGTAAATCCAAAATTTCCGAGATGCTAACTTTCAATTCCAAACTACTTACTAAAGCGAAAGGGGAAAAAGATTTACATCGAACAAATTTTCATAGTTTTTGTCAGGCGTTCACGGTTATAACAACCGTAGCCTATTCAAATACGGACTCCTATGTTCAAGCCGAGTTTAGAACTTCTAAGCCGAAACAATCGAATGTTTAATAATCTTCACGACCAAAACTAAAATCTACAAGCATAATTTATTCAAAAAGCTTCAAAAACCAGCAGATATATTAACAAGAAATCGAGTCTATTAACTTCGGCAGTACCTTCAATTGTGAAGTCAATACAAGCAGTCGAGCAATCTCCCTCGACAGCTGCAGTTCGACACGGTTAGAGAACAGAGATGCAAATAGTTCAATTCATTACACTAAATGTAGAATTCGCCTCCATAGTCCTGCAATAAATCAAGAAATTACACACACAAGTGAATCATAAGAAGAACTGCAACGAGCGACAGCATAACGACACCAAACAAAGAGTTCAAACAAGAAATTTAACAACTTCAACGATATATATATATATATTCATCAGAACGAGATAACAGTAAAGAACAAGGTATACCGATAAATATCAATGCCATTGGAAGATCAAAAACTAGCACACTATAGAGAAACAGTGCGCCGATAAAGTATTTCATCGTCACTCTCATCTTCCTCTTCCGACACAACATCGCCCCCCGGAAGCTCCAGCTTCCCACCCATACGAAACGAGGGGCCAGAGGTTTCCGCCTCTATATATTGGCCTTTAAGCCTTTCTTCGAACCTCTGATCACTACAATTCAAGAACCAGGCCAGAGAACACCTAATCCCCTTGCTCTGTAATCTCTGGTACCTCGGCTTAATCCGTGACTCCAAACTGTACGTAAAATATTCCGGGAACTCAACCAGCTCCTTCACCGGCCTGCCCATTTCACTCTTGAAATAATAGTAACTGTTCTTCATTAGCCCGACTTGAAGCGCAATCAATTGTGGGCACTTAACGATCATCTTCCCCACATCATCACACGAAATCCCCCGCCCGAGCAGGAAATCAACCGGCTTCAAAATCACATTCTGGTTGAGGCTAACAACCTGCGGCATCCTCTCAACAACACGCGCAAATCCATCAGGATCGATCTTGAGCTTCAAGTTGAAGAAGTATTGCTGCGACGACAATTTAGCCTTCAACGGCAATCCAAGAATCTGCGGATATTGAGCGATAACAGACGGAAGCTCTTCCTTCCTCACCCCAAAACTCATCAAACAATCCACATTCGGTCTCACCGTCTCCTCAAGATTATAGCCGAGGATATACGCACGCTTCTCTAACATTCTAGCTAAAATCTTCTTCGGCAATCCTAAAGATACCAAATAGTCCACCAATGGCTTGATCACAGTCCCGACTCGAAACCCTAAGATATATGGATACTGAGTCACCATAGGGCCGATATCCCTCGGATTAACTCCAATGCTAACCAAATAGGCTATCGACGTGCTCATCGTCCCTTCGAGCTTAAACCCTAACAATTCAGGATACTTCATCAATACATAACCTATATCTTGCTTCTCGACATCGAGCCCCCGGAGGTGCCGCACGACCGGGGCGAGCTCAACGACGACGCTAGCGTGGAGACACTGAGGATAGTTCTTCACGAATTCACCCATCCTCGCCCTCGGAATCCCGATTTTTTCCAAGTAACCTAACACGGGGATTGTGTTCTTCCGCACGCTGCAGCCGAGCATCAGAGGATACTCATTGATGTCATCTATGGTGAGGCCTATTTTCTGCAGAAACTCGACGCGCTCACGCATCACTTCGACGGTGGACGGCAGCTCCAGACCTTCCAACTCGTCGGGGACTATGCCTATCGATTTCAAGTAGTCGGAGATGATTACCCTCGACACGAGCTTCTCCTTGCGGCCTTGAGTCACGCCCCAAGTCACCGTGGGCATTTCGTACTCTGGGAAATTTGAGGCTTTCGTCGAAAAGGGGATTCTAGGGTTTTTCTCGGGTTTATTGAAGTGCGAAAAAGTTGGGGGATTCGGCGGTTTGCTGAACACCCATCTTAATCGTTGGGTTTTCCGCAAAACCGCAGCCATTTTCGGGTGAAACTGAGCCAGACGAACACCGATAGTTACCGTTTCGACGACAATACAATTGAAATTCACTGAGAATATGCGGTAGAACAGAGATTACCGTGACTGCAGGGAGGGGCTTGGATTGGCGACGGAACAGATTAGTTACCAGCTGCTGGAAGCGCAGAAACAACCCCAACTCTAATTTCCAGTTCCAGCCATGGCTGCCGAGGGTTCCGACAGCTAAACGGGCTTTGACGGTATTGGCAACCCGGACCCTATAATGGTTGGTCCAACCCGAATATACAATCCGAATGGAATCCGCTTTATACGTTCCCAAAAGGAAAATCGTATTATGATTGTGGAACGCGACTTTAGAGGTAATTAACAAAACATAAGTATAATATGATACTAAACACGTAAAAATACTATTATATCCCTCATATATATATATATAGAACGTTTTACCTTTTCTTTTTTTTTTTGTATTTTTATATTTTGTTTTAGCCTTTTTCATCTTTTTTTACATCTCTATTAAGTTTTTTTTTTTTTTTTTTTTTTTTTTTTTTTTTTTTTTTTTCAATATAATTTCGCTTTGCAATTGTTAACATATTTTAATTTTAAATCTCAATTCACCAGCTTTTAAGTATTTTTTATTTTCAATTTTTTTTACAATTTTAAACGTTGTGTGAGACATTAAATAAGAATACTTTCTTTAACAAGTTGACAATCGATCACAATTTCGATAGAACCATGTTGGATAGCTCATCCAACAATGAATTTTAATGACAACATCAATACCCTAGAATTTATTTTATTTTATTATTAATATTTATTTATTTATAATAATCTCGATACTTTACAAATTTATAATATATATATCATTTTATAATAATTCTAATTTTTGAAAATATATTATATCTAATTAGTTAGATTTTATATCAATTAATTCATTAGAATACTCTTACATATAAAAAAGTGAATAATTTGATTCGGAATCGACACAAATATTTTGAAATTTTTATTAATGGGATAGAACTTTTTAGAAACAGAGTCTTTTTTTAGAATATGCTTCTATAAAATGAGAAATACTATTTAATTTTTAGGGACATTACATTTAGGGTGCTTTTGTTTGAAAGTTTCTGGTAGATTTATATTATTCACACCAAATTTTTCTCTTACAAATATTAAATCAAATACATATTTTTTATTTTTATATCACATCATACGACTATTCTAATTTAAATTTTTAACTATTCAAATCTCGATCCAAAATCCAAATCGCCAAACAAACACACCTTTAATATTCATGAACAAATTGTTGTAATAATCTTACTAACAGCTAAAACAATCATTTAACAATTCTATCCATCTTGACAAGTAGTCTAATAATCTTACAAACAACTAAGTCAATTATTTCACATATCTACCCATCTTGACCATTAGTGATTTTCTTTACTGTTCCAAGGCAATTGTCCTTAGGCCTCGTGTGTGGTAAATAAATGACGGGACTATCGGGATTACGCCGAGCCAACCTACGTGCATCGAAACAACCTTAGTTTTCGCGAGTATATTCAAGTATCAAAATTTAAAATATGAATCCTGTCACCAACTTACTTATAGTTCAAAAGAAAATGATGAAGAAATACTGCGATTTCAATCTTGGCAAGATCATTTCCAGGACACAAATGGGACCCCGCTCCGAAAGGTAGAAATTGCCCGGCTTTTGGCGTAAAACCCTGTAATGAAAATTCAATTTTAATCTAGTATCGGATAGAAAAATTATTACAAATCAAAAGAATGATTTGGAACTTACATCCCATCTCGAAGGGTCAAACTTTTTTGGGTCTTCGTAGGTTTCGGGGTCAAAGTGAACTCCCCGAAACCAAACCAATACTTTCCATCCCTTAGGGATTGTGTATCCTAACATGATGAGCTTTGTCAAGACATCAACTAATTATTAAATTGTAAAAATATATACATGTTTTTTCGAAAAATGATGTTATTTATTTATTTACTTTTACTGAGCTCTAAGTACATATTGGGATCGTTAGAATTAAAACTTTGTAGGAATGTAAATGAAATGACAAATGTGGATTGTGTGTACCGTTTATCCGAACATTCTTTTTTGGCTCACGGAAGACCGTCAACGAGATTGTTATGATACGCAGAGTTTCATCAATGACCTGTCAAGCAACGGTTATAAAAAAAATTCAGCATCATGCTGACAGTGCATTGTGTGCTAATAGATAATATTTCGATATTACTACAGACAACATATAATTTATAGGGTAAATTGTTTTTTTAGTCTCGTAACTAGATTACCTTATCATTTTAGTCTCGTAAGTGGAACATGTCGCAAACTAATCCCATAAGTGAAAAATTTTCGTTGTTTTAGTCCTCTGGTGCTGGAGACGCCCGAGTGGCTCGCCGGAGGCTACGTGTCCACCACACCTGGTGGACACGTGGATTTTATTATTTTCTTTTTCATTTTTTAAAATTTATTTTTAATTTTATTTGCTTTTTTAATTTTTTTTTATTTTGTCCAATTGCACAAAAACTAAAATAAAATCCACGTGTGCACCAGGTGTCGCTGACTTGGCGGGATACCTGGCGAACACGTGGCTTCCGGCGAGCCACACGAGCGTCTCCAGCGCCGGAGGACTAAAACAACAAAAAAATTTCACTTATGAGACTAGTTTGCGACATGTTCTACTTACGAGACTAAAATGATAAGAGGGTCAGTTAGCTGACTAAAAAACAGTTTACTCTAATTTATATTAATATAATACAAAGATTAACCTAATATATGTCTATAATTATACAAGTCTTAAATATAAACAAATAGCGCATACTTTTATTTAATCTAATATATGTTATTTATATATTTTATCTGTGTTGATTTGAAAATTCTCCAAATCATCACCAATAACCATTCCCATTAAGTATAATAGTATTTTGATAAACAAAGGTAAAAATAAGAATAAATTAATACTTGTGAGAATCATACCTTAGAAAGATAATCCATATGTCGAATTTCTCTAAGGTTTAGACTTTTTTGCCCAGGAAGTCGATTTTTCACAATTTCTTCTTGTTCGGCCTGAAATTAAATCTTAATTTCTCATACTAAATTTGAGAAAAATATAAATTTATGAATGATCTTTATATCTGCCGAATCATTGGACATACCTTAGCCCGTTTGTACATGTCGGGATGCTTGAGTAAAAATAGAGTTGCCCACATGGTTGTGTGTGCCGACGACTCATGCCCGGCGTTGAGGTACATGATCAAAATATCGATAATTTCTTCGTCGCTCAATCGTCTTCCATTTTCATCCTCGGCATCCATAAGCCCGTCCATCATGTCTTTATTTGCGTTCACCCTTCGTTTATTCATTTCCTCTCGTCGCTTCGTTAAGACCCCTTGGAGAATGGCGACGAGCCTTTTACGTGCCTAAGATGGGTAATAGGTTTTTCTCACAATAGTTTTTAAAAAACAGATATTTTATACTACCTTTGTCATTTAAGTCTTTACTCAACTTTGGACATAACAATTTAAAGAAAAAATAAGTATGATTTAGATCTTATACAGAGTAAATAATTTTAAACTAAGGGGGTGTATTCAATTGGGATTTTAATGGATTTCTTTGGATTTTAAAAAGTTTATGGATTTATGTGGATTCAAAAAATCCACCGAGTCTACGTTGAGTTTGATGGATTTTAGTAATTGATTTAGATGGATTACTACGGATTTGATTGAATTCTTTATGGATTTATATGGATTTTGTAAGATTGTAAAATAATTTTTTTAATATATATTAATTATATAAATTTTTATCAAATAACAAATTTTATAAATATAATAAATAATTATTAATAAGATAATATTTAATATTAATAAATAATATATAAGTATTAATAAATAATATATATATGTATTTACTTTTTATGTAAAAAGGTTATATTAATATAAATAAATAAATAATTTACTATTTTTGAAAAAATATTAAAATAAATATAAATTAACGGTTCAACAAAAAATATATATTTAAATATCTATTTCACCTTTATCGTAATGATAATATAGTGTATTCGATAATTGAAAAGAAAAAATGACAGTAATATAATAATATATTTTAAAATTATATTTATAATATAAAAATATATATTTAAAAAAAATCATAATATTTTGCTAATATATTTTAGTTTTAAATTATTATTTTTATTAATAATAGTAATAAATATTATCATATTATTGATCACATATACAACAACAACAATAATAATAATAATAATAATAATAATAATCCATCAAAATCTGTGATGGTAAAGAGATATTCTTTTCTATATAAAATTTTCACAAAAATCCGTTAGAATCCATTAAAATCCATAGACTTTCAAAGTCTGAATATGTCTAAGATTTTAAAAACTTTTAAAAGTCTATATTGAATACCTCACGATTTTAAAAGACTTCTAAAAGTCTGGATTGAATAATAAAAGATTGAATACACCCAAATTTTGAAAGTCCAACAAAATTCTACAAAATCTATATTGAATACACCCCCTAAATATAAGAAAAGACTGTAAATCTTATCGAACATATGTTATTACCTGAAATGCCGAATAATAAGCGAATCCAGGGATATTGATCGCCATCGCCCTTACTCCAAAGTTCAACCTTGTGTATTGCCGCTCGAGAGCCCCTCGGACTCCTTCGCTCTCTGTGCTCAAGAAAATATGCATAATTATATTGAATGTAAGTTTTCGTAATTGCGTCAAGAACTCGATTTCTCCCATACTCGACCACTCATCTAGAGCTGTTATTACATTTTTCTCGATATATTCTAAGTACACCGATAGCGCTTCGTGGCCATTGATGGAGGCGGCGGTGAGTCTCCTCAGCCACCGGTGGTCTTCATCAGAAATGCTGGTGAAGGACTTGCGGCCAATTAGATTCACGGTGGAAGCCGGCCACCCGGGTTTGAAGGAGTCGTCGTCGGTTAAGATTCTCCGGCATGTCTCCGCCGTTGTAGCTATGATGCTAGGATTTCCGAACATGTGGGTCTTGTATATTCCGGTAGGTCCGAATCTGTTAAATAGTAAAAAATCTTAAATTTTCAATAAAAGAAAATTAATATTTGAATTTTGAGTTTGAAAATAGGAATAAAATAAAATAATACTTAATATATCACATAAGATTGATTTTTTTGGTATTATATTAAATAAATAAATATTTAATTTAATAATTTTGAGGATTTTTTTTTTTTTTTCATAAATAGTGTAAGACCATTTCAAATTCTAAAAAATCATTTTTAAGATTCAAAGTTATATTTAAACTCTTATGGGATCTATGAAATCAATATTATTTATTTTATATAGTTTTTAATAAAAATATATTATCTTGTTTAGTAAAAATATAAATCAAAATACTATTTGAACAAAAATTTAAAGTAATATTTAATTTTAAATCACAATCAAATAAAATTCTTTGTTTGATTTTTTTTTTCATTTTTTTTATTATTATACAACATCATCATAAAAAATAATAATATTCTCCTTTTATATAAAATATTGTATTCAAACGAACAGTTCATATTTAGGTTTGTATTGTAATAGATTAAATTGATGGTAGCTATTTAGTATTATTTTATTTATGTAAAAAATATATGAAATTAAACATATTAAATTTTATAATACATTAAAATTAACTTTTATATTCAAAATATTAAATTATTGTTTATGCATAGAAATTCAACATTTTAATATTCTCAACCTTAAAGTCTAACTTCCAAAATTTACAATCAAAGTGTATTACATATTTGCACACTAGTATTACCTCCCATATACATTGCAAAAAAATGAAAGTGATCTATGCATATCATATATGAAATAATTATTTCATATCTGTCCGCCCCTTCCAAATTTATTCTCATTTTTCCATTTAGTTCGTCTATTAAATTTATTTCATTACTAATTTTGGCAAAGTCAACAAATTAACATTTAATTATTATTTTTCATTCAACGCTTATTTATAACGAATATCACTAACTTTATTACATTCTCTCTGTTCATTTACTTTATTTTTTTTTTTTATAAATAAATTCAAACTGATCATATGGTAAGAACAGCAACAACAACCATATATATATATAGATAAAGAGTTGATTAGGGTGGGTGGGTAGAGGTAGGTACCTGTCAAGAAAGCAGGTTTGGATGAAAGTTTCCGGCGAGGAAGACTTGAAGGCAGAGAGAAAAGACCACATGGTTCCGATGAGGGGCCAGCCCAGATCCCCCGGGGGCAGATTTTGTCTGATTCCGACATCAAGCTTCATCTCATGGTACCACCCGTTCGCCCTCCTTACCACCCACCCCACCCCCACCACCACCACCACCACCGCCACCGCCACCCACCACCCCACCAACCACCCCACCACCACCATCGAGTACCAGTACCTAATTATATATATATATATTTTTCTTACAAACCACGGACTGAGCACTGATCTATATCTATCTATCTATCTATCTATATATATACAGTAGTGACAGTGGAGATGGTTATATATAGTCAATTATATGTATATATGTAGTAGAAGAAGAAGACGGAGTAGTAGTTGTTGGGAGATCCTGGGACCTCAGCACCAGATACCTGAACGAGTGAGAACGACGACTCCTCTCATAATTGGTTGGTATTTAATTTAATTAAGAAGAATGAATGTACTAGAAACAGTAATGCACCATCGAAAACAAATTTTTACTAATATTAATGTACTGATATTTTTTTTAAAAAAATAGAAAAGGAATATTTTTTAGTAATAGAACCAAAAATAGTATTTTAAATTATGATAAATGAGTATTATTATTATTATTATTATATAATCAATTGCAATTTGTTTATGCCGTCTTTTATTATTCGATTGATTTATATTATTTCTTCAAATATCATCGCATAGTATTAGAGATTCGTATTGAGTCCTCCATAAAATGATTTATAGAGTGTAGTATAAAAATTGTGTCAAAAATATAAAATATATTATTTTAGATTTAATATTTGACTTTTTAATTTTTTATAATGACTATTTGAGTTTTTTTAACATTTTCACTTTTGTATAAAACATTTTATATTTTTTATTATTATTATTAGAAATCGCAATTAAAAAATATACTAGAAAAACAAAGTGAAAATTGATTTTTCGGACCAATAACAATATGATATAATTGTTTAAAACCGTTATATATTAGTTTATCAATGGTATAATTCAAATCAATTATAATATTAATAACATTTTGCAATTTAATTTAAAATTATGATTAAACAAAAAGCATGTTAAGTAAACGATAGAATGAAAAACAAAAAAAACGACAAAAAAAAAAGGCACAGAGAAAAGTTGTCACAATATTTTAACAAGAATTTATGGTGGCTATTATATTTCTTTTCATTAAAATAGCACCTTGTAAAAATATATTAATGAACCTTCAAATACCTTTTGAACTAATTTTTTCATCAATTTGTATTAAAAAGTATATTTATTAATAATTTAAAAATATATATTTAGATTACTTAATTTATATAAATGAATTTTATGCTAACAATATATATATATATATTTTTCATAAAAAATCTCAACATATATTATTTTAATATATTTTTTTTTTTTCAAATTTTTCCCATCAAACATACCCAAATGTTAAAATATTTAAGGAATAAATTATACAAAGTTCACGTAAGATAAAGACGGTTTTGCTGAGAACACTTGGCTAATTAATTATGTTGCTATTTTAATTTATTCTACATGTAAATGGAATCCACACACAACCCTCTTTACCAATTTTATTTATTTATTTAAAGAGGGTGCCCATTCCTTTTTAATTATTTATTCTCGTAAAGGAGAATTGGTCCCCTTTATAATATTTAAATTGGTCATAATATTTTTAAAGAAATTAAATAATAATAAAAAAAAAAACAAGAAAAAGAGAACACTTTATAATTTCATAAATTAACATATATTTAGTCGCTATTATATATATATATATATCAAGATAAAAACAATTGTTAAATATAATATTTCTTTTAAAAAAAGTACACAAAATACAAAAAAAAACATGCCCATGTAATGTTAATCACCTATACAAAAGGTTCTATCCACACCGTGCATGCCTGAAACTTATAAAAATAAAAAATGGGAAAGCAAAACGACGACCTATAACTGTGAACTAACCGGAGCTCGGCTGCGGTTTCGCTTCCGGTGGCGGTGAAGACGAAATTGAGATCAGCTTAGACCTGTATTTGTCATTACTGTCTGTTACATGTCCATTAAATTTCTTGCAATATTCTGTGTCTGTACCCGACATCTTGGCCATAGCACCAGCCTCATCGGGTACTATATATGATATTGCAATCAACGACTCACGAGCCAGATCGGCGCTAAGTTTGTTGCCGGGTGTTGTCATAGCCAAATACAATTAGTTAAACCTATCGAAAACATCATGTACATGTTAGGAAATTGATTACAAAATTTTCCCCAAAAAAAAAAAAAAAAAAAAAACAGATGAAGAAAACTTATAGCATAATGTAAACTTAATGCAAACATCACCTGAGAAATCAAGGGAGGGTGAAGGAATAAAAATTTATGTAGATGTGATTCTCCTTTAATCTTGATCAAAAGTTTTTGGATAAGAACTCTGAATTTGAAAAAATTAAAGGCTCTCCTTCCTCCAATTTATAGTAATATTTTCCTAAATTTACAAGGATTGGGATACACAAAATCTTTGGATTATATAATAGATTATCACTAAATATTAGGATAAGGTTTAAATAAGTATATGGTAACAAGAATGTTAAACCCTTTTTCATAAGGATTGTAACACACACAATCTATGGAGTATTATATAATAGACTATCACTAAATATAGGAAAAGATTATGCTAACTAGTTAGGATCTTAAACCATTTTTTCACTAGTATTGGGATACACAAAATCTATGGATTGTAATAGATGATTACTAAATATTTCCAAAAGATCTGCATAAGTGTGCTAGCTAAGATCAGGATAATATTAACATCTTCATCAAGATTAAAAGTATTGGGCTAAGACTTTACTCGATGGAGAACTCACTAGACATAGGAAATAGACCAAACTAGAAAGCATGGGGAAAGATAAGTCTTGCAGTTCTTCTAACAATCTGAATAACGATCAATTGGATCAGAAGAATATCAGAATTCAGTAAGCAAACACCAAGTTCAATAACTAATGATCATTTACCAATCAAATATGAGTTGTACTCAATAATTCAAAGTGCAGAAATTGACAATTCAGTTTTTGAAGATGTTATATAGCATATGATCTTTAATGTTAAATGATCAAACTGCAGTTCAACCTATAGTTAAACCTCAATTAGATCATTTGAAATGGTTTATCAGATTTGGTATAATAAAAAGTAATTAGATAAGATTGGGGTAATAATTAGAAGTCGAAATTAGTATGAAAATTCTCAATTATTATCTAATTCAACCACAGATCCTATTTTGTGTTCACTTATAGTACATAAACAAGAAGAGAAATTCGATAGTGCTCTATGTTCCCAAGTTATCTACCATAATTACCTTCTTCCATAAGAGTGAGATTCCTTTTACTCATGAGTGTTCAACTTCCCCTAAGAACACAAGGAGATGTGTGAATCGATGTTTACCAATTTTATAGATAAATTGGTACTTCAGTTGATAAACCGTTTCCAGTTTAACATTTCATTGATCTAAACTAAAAGAAAAACTATTTCTAAGGGCATGAATTTGATTTAATACTAATATCCAATTCCAATTCAATTCACCTATTTCATGCCGATGATGCATATTCAAATACACTAATATGTAGAATCCTTACTCAATAGTGAACAAAATTTTATGCATCAAACGAAAACCAGCAAAATTCCAGGAAATCGGAAACGAGGATAGGAGCTTCCAATAAAATGAAAAGATGAGGGAGGAAAAATGAACATCGAAAACGTCAGGCATAATCACGACGTACGATTCCGCCTCAGAAAATTAAAAACAATCCACAAATAACGACAAGTTCATCGAGGCGATGCTCAAACAGCAAAATCCAAGAATACACAGACAAATCCGCACGCCAGTCAAATTCAAAATTTAAGAAGAAGAGTGGGGGCGGGAATAAACAAAAAAAAAATGACGAATCAATCCACCCACGGGCGCAGACAATCGCAGCTGGAATCGCAATCAACAGAATCTCGACATGACAGGATAAGCAAAATATCAATCAAACCAAAAATCAAATCACGAATCGCACCTTTCTCGAACCAAAATCGCCGATCAATTTCTCTTTCTCCCTCTCCCGCCGGATTGTCAGGTGAGAGTCAAAATAGGCAACTCTTATTGGCGAGTCGCCTTTGTCGGTTAGAACAAAATCTATTCACGATTTGACCAATGAGATCCGTCACGTGCACGGCACGTGAACCGAACCCGAACACTCCATATTGAATCGGTCAGAGACTTTATTGGGCCTATTTATATTTGGGCCTAAATAATTATTAAAAGAGGCCCATTTAAATATTAAATATTAAATCAGCAGATATTACGTGCCTGAAACACGGTGGTCCATTCTGTTGGTGCACCCCGTTTTTTACCTTAGTATTCTTTTATTTATTTTTAAATGTAAAACAAAATAAAATGAAATTTTCTAATATACTTAGATATAAATCATCAATAAATTATAAACATATCAAATCAAATGATAATTGTTTTTATTTATTTTTAAATTTTTTAATAAATTTATTTAAGGCAGTATGTGATAAAACTTATAATTATAAATAAAAGACTAATTCATTTTTCTATATTTTTCTTTTTTTATTACGATTACCTTTTGTGTATATTTGCATATAAATATTAAAAAGTTGACAACAATAGTAATAGATCTATAGAGTTTTAATATCTAGAATATTTATAATGTTCTTCTCAAAAAATATTATCCATTAATACTATTATACATAATATTCTTTTCATATATATATAAGTATATAAAACTATGGGTTGGATTGTTTTGTGTTTTTCTTTAAATGAATTTTTTTTTTTATGTAAAATATAAAATATTATATAAATAATATAAAAATAATAAATATGTGTTTATTATATTAATTTTAAAATATATATATTAATTTTTTTTTTACAAAACAATAAACTCTATTTTAAAATAGTAATTATTATAAAAAATATTATATATATAATTTGGGCTTAAATATTAAATATTTATATATTTTATAATTTAAGATTATTAGAAAATAAATTTGATAAAATATTCAAAAATTAGGCAAATAAATAAAATAATCAAAATATTATTATAAAATTATTAAATAAAAATTGGAAAAAAATATTATAATAAAAATTATAATATTTCAAATTTTAATTTTAAAATAAAAAATTATTATTGTAAATTAGAAAATGAAGCACAAAAATTAAATAAAAAAAACGAAAGCACTGCGTCAAAGAACTTGATAGTGGAATAGCAAATCTCTGATAATTCAATATTTAAAAAAGATTTTAACAACTAATATTTACTTTAAATTTAACAAAATAGATCTTATATCTCAAATGAAATTTTTTTAAAAAATTATCCCACTTTATCAAAAAGAGGAAATAAATAAATAAAGATGAAAAATAGGACTCAATTTATGTTTCCAATCATTTGTTTTTTTGAAAAATATTTATTTTATTATTGTATAATTTCTTGATTTAATTAGATAAGTGCTATGTTTTGATAAATAAATAAAAAATAATTATTATTTTTTCAATTAATATTTTTTACTGATCAAACAAATATATAATTCATTTCTTAGCATAATTGTGAACTACAATAATTTAATAAATGTTGCATTAAGAATATAATTTTACAAATCGTCAAAAAAAAAAAAAAATTGATATGTTTTCTCTAAATAAGTTATACAAAGCAAAAAAAACACAATTGGTACGTGTTGCAAAATTAAATTCAACTCTGCAACTTCGGCATGGTGTTTAGACTCTGTGATCTCATCGAATACTCTTTAATCAACTTAGAGAAGAAAGAGTTCTCTCTTTCCAGTAGCTTAGCTGGGGAGTCGAATTCCGCTATTCTTCCTGATCAACGAAAACCAACATAAATGCATACGAGTCAGTCGAATTCAAATTACGAAGTAATTAATTAGGCCGTAAAGTTTTTTCTTACCATCACTCAGCACCAAGACAAAATCGCTGTCGATTACGGTGTGGATTCTGTGAGCTATCGTGACGACAGTCCGATCTTTAAATTCTTGACTAATGATCTTCTGTATCACTCCATCGGTTGCAGAGTCGACCGATGCTGTCGCTTCGTCGAGAACAAGAATGCTGCTTTTCTTTAACAGTGCTCTTCCTAGACAAAAGAGCTGTCTTTGGCCGACACTCCAGTTCTCTCCATTTTCTACAACGGTGGATTCGAGTTTTTCTGGCTTTTCGCGCACTATGTCGCCTAGCTGACATTTGTCCAATGCCTCCCATATTTCAGTGTCGGAGTATTGCTGCAGGGGATCGAGATTTCCTCGGACTGTTCCGTCGAACATTGTTGGATCTTGTGGGATGATACTGAGCCTTGATCTTAGGTCTTGAAGGCCTATTTTGGTTATGTCGACATCGTCTATGATTATAGTGCCTTCGCGGGGCTCCACGATTCGGAAGATGGCTTGTATTAGGGTTGATTTACCGCTCCCTGTTCTTCCCACTACCCCGACTTTCTTCCTCCCTGGGAATGTGCAGGTGATGTTCTTCAGCACTGATGGGAGATGCTCGGCGTAGCGAATCTGGTTATGGAATTGTGTGAGATGTAATCAATGGACATGTTTATGAATTATTGAATTTTATGTGTTGCAGTACCTGCAATTGTTGGAAGCTGATCTTTCCTGTCTCTGGCCATTGAGACGGTGGTTTGGATTCTTCAATGGTGAATGGAGCTTCGCTTCGGAGATTCGAGTACTGAAGAATGCGTTCGACTGATATCATTTTGTTTTCTGCGTTGCATATGCTCCAGATCACTGAAGCTTGCTGGACATTGAGATTGATTCCATAAGTGACTGCTAATCCAGCAATACCTGAGGAAGACGATACAGTCAGACAGCCACGAGATTAACTGATTAAGCATCCATAGCTTGATTGATTTCTTAGATTTGATTTTGAACTTTACTTGGATTTATGATTCCTTCAGGGAGGGAGACTAGCAGAACTAACGAGAAGGTGAAGACGAAATTGGAGAGCTGATTGAGCCTGAAAGAGAGCCACTCCATGGCTGCTACATTGTGAAACCATGGCCGTGAGTGATCGTCGATTAAGCAGAGGTTGGCATTGGTGAATCGATCGAATTGACCGAAAGCACGAATCGTTGCTGCTCCGGTTAGTGATTCTGCAAAATGATGGAGAATCGGAGCTCTCTGAATCCCTGCTAATCGCGCCAGTTCCCTTGCTGTCGGTATGTAATACATCTGCAAATTAAAGATAAATTAGGTCATTTTAAATTCAAGAACAATGAAGATGATGATGATCTTAGTCACTACCTGGTACCAAATGCAGATCGCTGTCACTGGAATGAAGATGACGAAGACCTCCCAAGCAACCTGCGACATGACTGCTATGGTCCCTAGAAGCTGAATTATGGAGAAAGCACACCATCCTAGCCTCGTCGCCATTTCCAGGTCGAGCACGCTTTGATCAGTCGATGCACGGTTTAAGATTCTTCCAGCAGGTGTGGAATCGAAGAACGCCATTGGAGCGTAGAGTGTGCTTTTAAGCATTCTGCTGAACAGAGTTTCTGCTGTCAATAAACCAGTTATGGCAACCAAACTGGATCTGATCAGCACACAGAATGCACTCCCGAAGGAGAGGATCGTGTACACAATAAGCACGAAATGCAGGCCGTTCTTCGGCTGTTCATCGCCGGCTGGACATGCCCACGCCATCCAGTAATTGCTGACTACTTGCAGAACTTGGAATGACGATTGTGCGAGGATGATGACGGGGACGAAGGCGCCGCGTTTTACGATCGTTAAGTATGCCATGTATACTTCTTTCCCTATGCTCCCTTTCTCCCTTTCTTCATCCTGAACTAATCTTCCATCTTTCTCTGTTATCTCTGCGCAGAGATTGTGCTCCGATTCTTGCTTCACGTATGGGATTTCTTGGCTTGCTTCTGCATCTCCATTGCCGTCGTTCTCAGCTGCCACTGTTTGATCATTTCCGCGGCTTGAAGCTTCCATTGATATGACTGATTCCAGAGCTTGACTGTGTGCTCCAACCAGAGCTTCGAATCCGATGTTCTGCTGCAGAAGCTGATCGAACGTCCCGGCTTGCGCGATTCTTCCGTTTTCCATTACCAGAATGAGGTCGGCTGCAGGAAGGAATTCCACTTGGTGAGTGACGTATAATATCGTCTTGTTCTTGAGCAATCCCATCAAGCAGTCCTGTCGATTAATTTACAATCATCAGTGATCATCATCATTAAACAGACGAATACAATCCAAGAACAACAAACCTTGAAAAGCTGCGTGCCGGTGTGGGCGTCGACAGCGCTGAAAGGGTCGTCGAGGAGATAAATATCGGCGTCTTGGTACACAGCGCGAGCAATCTGTATCCTCTGCTTCTGCCCGCCGCTCATATTGATTCCTCTTTCGCCTATTTCTGTCATGTCTCCGGCTCCAAACAGCTCGAAATCTTTCGTTAGTGCACAGGCTTCGATTGTTCTGTCATACTTCTCGCTTTCGTATCCATTCCCGAATAAGATGTTTTCACGAATGTTTCCTGTTAATATCCATGGCGACTGAGGAACATACGCCTTCGAACCGCTGATCTTCACCTCTCCCGACAGCTTCTGCATCTCGCCGATTATGCAAGAGAGCAGACTAGACTTGCCTGAACCTACAGTTCCGCAAATCGCTACCTTCGTTCCTTTCTTAACCTTCAACTGTATTCGATCTAATGTTGCATTTCCTGTCTCTGTATCCCAGCTGAATCTTCCTTCATTAATTTCGACATGGAACTCTGTTTGATTGCTCGAAACGAATTCGACTGCGTCTTCCTTGATCTCATCTTCTTGCAGGTAAGTAGAGATTCTGTCTACAGATACTTTTCCCTGTGCAATAACATTAAGCAAGTCAGGAAGATTGAAGATCGGGTCCTGCAGCATTCGGAATGTGGCCAGAGCAGACAAAACCCTCCCGGCGGTTAACGGAATTCCCATTAAAAGACATCCACTGAAAGTTATCACTGAGATGAACGCCGGCGACCCCCAGAAGATGAACGCCGTCAAGGCGTTCAGCCAGAGAGATTTCTTCAGCCAGCCATGCTCGACTTTTCTCAATCCTACAAGCTTTCCGATGAAGTGTTCGTCCCACGCTTGGAGTTTAATTGTCTTCATGTTTCTCAGAACTTCAGATGTCGCCTTCATCCTATCATCCTTGGCGTCCATGATCTTCATCTGGTACGCCTTCTGCACCCTCGTCAATGGAATGTTGCCGGTCATCACCGTCATCGTCGCCGCCAGCGCGACGAAAGCTCCGGCGCCGAGATTCATATGCAGAATGTAAATCGCCAACGAAATCTGCACCGGCAGCATCCACACAGTGTTCAAATACCATACGAAGTCGGTGATTCTCTGTATATCCACACTCATGATGTTGATGATCTCCCCGCTCGTTCGACTCTGCCGCGATTGGCTCGACAATCTCAGCCCCTTTTGGTAAATCTGTGAAATCAACGCAGCTCTCAGACGAAGCCCTAACTGCCTCGCCCCAAAAATCCATTGCCTCTGCGCCGTCGTCTCCACAAGCTTCGCCGCGAGGAACCCTAACGCGAGTAAGTACCCGCTCTCCAAACTCCTGTACTTCTTCCCATTAAGAAACTCGACGAAATAGTTTATCAGGTAAGGGCCAACGTACGACGTCGAAGCGCTGGTGACGGCGAAAACCGCGTTGATCGCAGCTTTCTTTCTCGCGAACATGTACATCACTCTGTAAATCGACGGGTTCCCCGCAGCCTTCTCCTTCTCAGTTTCGAGGCATTTTTCGAAGGCCCCTGTTAGAAAGCTTGCAGAATCGTTGACGTCGACGTCGGGGACTTCGTCTTGATCGAGAGGCTTCCTGTAGCCGTACTCGAAGAGCGGATTTAGCCACGAGAAAGTCACGTGCTGGACCACCGTCGCCTTCCCGTACAGGCTGTCTTTTTTCGATGGTTCTGGAAGCTTCTCGTCCTTTCCGTCGAGAAGTGCCTCGATAATATCTTCGTCTAAATCTCTCGAGGCCACCGCACCGGTGTTTCCCCAGATCGCTAACCCTAGAAGGCAAATTGAGGTTAAAAAGCTCATTCCATCAGCGTATTCCAACACTCCAACTCGGCCATCAATTACGTCAATCGTAGTGCGAGCTAGAAATAGCAAAAACGCCAACGTCCACCAGAACCGGAGGAGCCACGGAAACTTGAGATGCTTCCGTTCACCGAACTTATACAAGACGACCAAAACGATCGTCCACGACAAAATTTGCATGATCCGTGACGAAAGAACTTTCGCGAAAGATGCGCAGCGCGCATCCGTATACGTTAGTATCGCGATAAACTGAGCGAGCATCATCAGAAGGGAACATACGACGCCGAGTTTGTAGGCGAAGCCATATCTAGCAACGTCGCTAGACGACTTTTTACTACCGTTCCAAATCGAGTGGGCGTTAGTTCTAACATAGTAGAGCAGGAATATGAGCAGAAATCCAATGGGCAAGCCAATGCTCGTCTCGTCCCATAAGCAGGGCGAGACGAGGTCCGGCCATGGCACGGAAATTTTGAGAAACATGAAGCCTGGGTACCAAAAAAAGTGACTCAAATTCATTGCTTTAATGTATCAAGATATAAGCATTGGTGACTTTGTCGTTGTCGTAAAATATGGAGTAACAAATTTAAAAGCGATGGGATAGAGGGAAAATTTTTGAAAATTTAATTAAATTGTGTCACGTTTAATAATCTACCAAATAAATTATAAGTTTCACTGAAATAACCTAAAACACATAATATACCTACGTTTACAAACCCAAAAACAAAATCAACTTCAGGAGAATATAAACAAAATTCAAAAATAAGAAAGTGCTGTTTTATAGCGGCGATATGATGGTTACCCTAAAATACGAACAGATTGCTGCAATCACAGCCGTTGGATCAGATGGATGATATAGATGCGTCATTCATTTTCATCCCAAACATGAAGTTTGAGAATATCCATTTAGTAATAATAATAGTAATTGTTATTATTATTACTATTTTGTGGATTAAGTTTAGTCAAATCAAAATCTCCTGAATATTCGGATCTTCAAAACTGAACATACAAAACATTTGATCATCTTCTTCTTCTTCTTTTTTTTTTCTTTTTTTTTTTTTTAGGAAGAACAGAAAACAGGAGATTGTTTTTATATGAATCTATCTATGATTATAAATACAAAACAAAAATATATAAAATTTAAGAAAACACTTACTTGGAGCAGTGTTGAGTATGTGGAGCACCATTGTCTGCGATGATGATGATGAAGAAAGCTTGTTTATAATTAATTTGATTTGATGAAAATATTGTTGGATATATAAAAGATGATCATGAGATATGTATATACATATGAGATGATATATACGATGAATATATTTGTCTGAAACTCATCTTAGTAAAGTAGTACAGAGAAAATAATAGGACTCTTCAACATACTGATGAGATCCACTATATATATATGTATGTATATATATGTATGTATATGTATGTATATATATATATATGTGTGTGGAAATTCTTTTAAGATCGTTTCTTGGCCATCACACTATAGTGGGCTACACGGACTAATTTTTAACTTATATGTATTTGTCTTTTCCATTGTTTTTTAAAATTTAAGTATTGTATTTAATATATTTTTTACTATATTGAGTGTTAAAATATTTATTTTTAAAAAATTTCAAATCTAAAATAGTTACATGTATACGTGTGTGTATTACTTTATTTGAATATTTTGGTATGTCAATTTTGAATGTTTGCTGATTCATCCATCATACATGAGGTTGGCATATACTATATTCCTTTTGAGTTTGTTACAGCTTTATCTTATTATTATTGTTGTTATTATTACTTGATGATTACTTTTGTAAATAGTAATAAATAATAATAATAATAATTGTTGAGCACAAAAAAAACGATGAGATCTTAAAAAGAGAGTACGAAACTCTGTCAAGGAAAAGGATTCCTCGGCAGAAAGCAAAGATCGGGTGTAATAAGGTCGGGTGCAGAGATCAGGCGTGATAAGATCGGGCACAGAGATCAGACGTGATAAGGTCGGGCGTTAACATCGGACAGGATAAGGTCGGGCACGAAGATCGGACGTGATAAGGTCGGGCGTTAACATCGGACAGGACAAGGTCGGGCACGAAGATCGGACGTGATAAGGTCGGGCGTTAAGATCGGACAGGACAAGGTCGGGCACGAAGATCGGACGTGATAAGGTCGGGCGTTAAGATCAGACAGGACAAGGACGGGCACGGAGATCAGACGTGATAAGGTCGGGCGTAGAAATCGGACAGGACAAGGTTGGGCACAGAGATCGGACGTGATAAGGTCGGGCAAAGTAAAAGTATCGGCAGACGCAGAGGTCTGTAAAACGAAGGTCGGGCAAAAAAGAAGTATCGGCAGACACGGAAGTCTGTCAAGACGAAGGTCGGGCAAAGAAGAAGTATCGGCAGACCCGAAGGTCTGTCAAGAGTATAGTCTGTTGAACCAGTTGTCCATCTAAGGAGATAAGGCAAACAGAGCCGGTCGATTGGTTCGCTGTCAGATGGTTCGCTGTCGGTTGGGCCGGTCGGATGGTCCGTAGTTGGTTGGCCCGAGGTCGGACCAACTGAGGTCGGACGGGGGACTGCTGATACGGAGGTTGGTCAAAAGAGGAAGTCGAGCGAAGAAGGACGGTTATTACGCAGGTCGGACCAAGTGAGGTCGGGCGAAAAAGAATGAGATGGACGATACGAGGTCGGACAAAAGACGAGATGGTGGTCGCTTGGTGGGACGGCCAAGGAGTCGGTTGGCCTGCAGTCCGTCTAAAGAGTCAGGGGTTATTTTGGGCGGCTGAGTAGCCGGTCGGACCATCTTCAGTAAGTTCAGTCGGTTGGTCTACGGTCCGTCTAAAAAGCCAGAGGTTATTGCTTGGCGGTTGAGTATTCGGTCGGGACTAGCCGCCCATTTAAGACAGTGAGGTTTTCAGAGGTGGTCGGCCGAGCCAGTTGAGTGTTGTAAGTAGCGCGAGCGGTTGATGAGTCGGTTAACACACCGTGTCAACAGAGGAGGACCTGGTGGGCGGTTGATAGCGGTTGTTGTAACAGACCAGACGGCGGTTCAAACCGTTTTTTTAAATGATTATTTAAGGATTCGGGTATGTTCTGACAAATCATTTTCAATCGACGTCAAATTCAAAAGAATTGCCTCTTTATTTTCCTGTAGTTTTATTTTTCTATTTTATTTATGTATCCTACGGTGATTCTTAATCTCAGGCACTAATTATATCAAATTCGAAGATAATTTCCTATTTTCGAATTTTATTTTTATTATTGAAAAATTGCATCAACAATAATGAATGAACGAAGATAACATAATATACTCCCTTCCTCCTATTTATCATGTATATTTTTTTTCATTTTTGTTTGTTCCAGTTATTTTGTTATTAGAATTATATATTTTAATTTTTTTTAATTTTAATTAGATTATTTTATTATTTTAATTTTAATTTAAAATTATTTTTATTAATATATTATTTATTATTTATTAATTATATTTCTCATGAATTATCGTACGTGTACGTTAAACAAGACACTATAAAATAGAATATAAGGCCTGCAAGGTGGGCAGCAATAATTGAAAAGCATGAAGCAAATACTAAAAGATATTGCAATAAATAAGCCAAGCATTGATCTTTGATGAATAAAGGAGTCCCCACCCGCAGTGGCGGTCCTGACCTCTATCTGACGTTGATGCCATCCTAACCGTCCGCCCAATGAACGGTTCAGATTCAATCTCAACATCCCGTGATCATAAATTTAGGACATGCTGTCAATTTTAGTCATCCGACATTGATTCACGATCGTCAAACAAAATACTAACAACTTTTTTTATATTATTATTATTTTATTTTGTGGTTCAATTTTAAAATGACGTGGACGGAATATTCTTCTGGCAATTTGGTTGAATCGAAATATATTAAAATCAAGTGTATTATATATAATTTTATTAGAATTCTAGAACGTATTTATAATAGCATATAGTAAAAAAACAAAATAAAATAAAATAAAAGAACTCTGATGTATTCTTTTGTATTTTTATTTTTAAGATGTTTATTTAAATACTGAGTCATTATATATATATATATATAAATTAATTATTGCAAAATATGAAAATAAATATTAGTAACACACAACTCGGTAGTCATTTTCAATTCACATTGCAGAATTAAGTGGAAAAGAATTGAATTGTCATATTCTTTTGCTAATGGATTTTCTTTAGTTTATGATAATCAATATCTACTTTTTTTTTTTTTTTTGTTATAAATATATATATACTCGCACGTATAAAAGATTTTTATTTTTTTTATTTTTTATTTTTTATTTTTGTATAATGTAGGCATTCAACTACTATTCGAATATGTATTGAATAAATCTCCAAGCTTAACTCGATAGTTATAATTATGCTAGTTGAATAAGCTGTACTAATCAACCTCCTTGACTGAAAAAAATAAAATAAAATAAAATATCGATAATCAAGATAATACTTTATTGCAACTACACAACTAAAATAACTTTCAAACTATTCATTATAAATCAATAGAGTCGTTTTTATTCAATCTTAAATATATTTTCCTATTATTATTATTTCAATAGAATATAAAAACTTAGATGTTAAGAGATAAATATATTCGAAAATTTTACAACATATAGATTACCGGAATGACATTTAAATGTTATCTTGTTGGTACGTTGTAGGTAAGAGTATCTCCAACCATGCTCCATATCTGACGTTCCAACACCATTTTTTCCGCCGAGCTGCTCCAATCCAGCACCATTCCCAGCACCAAATTTAGAGTTTGCTACAGTGCAGCAAACGCTATTTTTTTAAATTTTTTTATTTTTTAAAATTATAAATTTAATTTTTATTTTTTAAAATTTTATTTTAAATTATAAAAATAAAAAGTTGTTTAAAATAATAGGAAAAATTGAATATTTGAATAATAAAAGTAAAAAATTGAGTTATGGTTGGAGTAAAATTACCGTAGTAAGTGCATATTTGGAGTTAAAACTGGATAAATAGAGATGATAGGGTGGAGATGGCCTAAGATAAATTATATTTCTCCATATCAAATTTTATGTTATTATTTGTACTTTAGAATATTTCATTTTTTTGTACGTATATACACTTTTTCTGTTTATATATATATATACTCCCTCCGTCCCAGATACCATGTCCACGTTGCCGTTTCTGTCCGTCTCACATATCATGTCACTTTTTTTTTTTTTGGAAAATGATTACACACTTTAATCTCATTTTAAGTTTTTTAATTTTTTTTTAATTTTAATTAAATTAATTAATTATCTTAATCTTAATTTATAATTATTTATATTATAGGACAATTATTTTTACTAATACATTCTTAATTATCTACTAATTACACCCCTCCTAAAATACCGTGTCTACAGTGTAGCAGACACGGTATCTGGGACGGAAGGAGTATAATTTATCATCTATCCTTTTAAATACAATTTATTAAATCACTTCAAACTTAAAATAATAGTAAACTAATAATAATAATAATACATAAAAAAAAAAAAAAAACTATTAAAACAGTATCACTTTAAAAAACTATGTTAAAAATAAACATATAGAAAATGTTATAGATCGAATGGATTATTATAAAGTGCTTAGAAATGAATAATTTTTTAAAATCAAATTTGTAATATATTTATATTAAAAAAGCCCATAACTCTACACCTTTGTCCTTTTTTTTTAAGCATTATATATATAAATATAAAACCTTTATGTCATAGTGCCTTTTCTTCATCTTCTTTTTCTTTAGAACAAAAAGTAAAAGTATTTTCTCCGTGAATTATTTATCAAAGCAAAACATGTGGTTACTTTTTTATATATGTACATCAAATTATTATTCTTGTTTTATCGGGCGTGTTTACCTGTTTTTCTACTTAGGGTGTGTTTGTTTGAGGGATTGGATTTTTTTTCTACTATTCATCCAATTTTTTTCCCCCAAAACATCAAATCAAACATCTATTTTTTATTTTTTATATTATACTAAAAATCAATTTTGCATTCAAAACATCGCATCAACACCTATTTATATCGCATCATACAACTATTCAAATTTAAAATTTTTACTGTTCAAATCTCAATCCAAAATCCAAACCCCAAACAAACACACCATTAATATATTTTTTAAATATTAAAAATAAAGCATTCCTTAGTAATGAAACTAATACATTAAATTAAATTAAGATACAAAAGAAATGTGTGTTTTGTTTGGGGTTTGGATTTTGAGTTGGGATTTGAATAGTAAAAAGTTTGAATTTAAATATTTGTATAATGTGATATAAATAAGTGTTGATGTAATGTTTTGAATGTAAAATTGATTTTTAGTATAATATAAAAAATAAAAAATAAGTGTTTG